GGAACACTTTCCATAGACGGAAGGAGTTTCACTCGATAGAAGACCATAGCATTGGGTCCCGTCTACTCTAGCGACTTACAGATGACAGATTAAAGGTGCTGAAGTACTGGATTCTTTTTGGAAAACACAGGTACCTGATCCACCTCAATATAACTGAGCGAAACACTAATCTTTCCCTGACATAATGCCACCAAAATCAAGTGCACTTCACAGGTGTGATAATGGAATAATTCTCTAAATATGTATCTGACAAATAACCTTTTCTTCATTAGCTGAAAACATTAAAGCAGTATGGAATTCAACATTGCTATAATAATGAATGATCAATCATTTAGAAGAACAGCTTTAGCACTTTGAACGAACAAGTCTGAAATAGGACTCATAAAAGCAAGGAAGATGACAATATAATTATCACTGTTGTAGAGTAAGAACATAACATTAATAATACTGTTGCATAAAGTGTGTACTCTCACCCAGATAGGAAACTCCTTCTTCTGGTGTGATTGTTCCATATTTAACCATCATCTTCACAAAATCAATCAGGGTTTTCATTATAGTTATCAAGGTCTCTTTCTCTTTTGCCTCTGCCTCTGTGTGAGGGGATAAAGCAAAACTAGTCAAAGACTTCAGGCAACTCAGAAAAGCTCAGTTCTGCAAACTCTGCACAAACTTCATGAATAAAAAATGACCTAGTCACTAAAAAGAAAATGCTGTGCTGAATTAGCAAAGAGAACTCCTAGACATGTTTCCCTTTAAACTGCTCCTGTAAAGTACACCTGAATATACTTTAAAACTTAAGGGTTTGATTCTTCTTTATAGCTTTTTTTCTTGAAGGTCTATATTATGGAAGGCAAATGGCATTAATTCCATTTTACAGATAAGAACACTGAACACGCTGAGATGAAGGGACTTGACAGACTTCAAATTGCTGGTCAGAGGGCAGATACAGGCAGAGTTTCCTACAGTCTCTGTCTTTTTCTTTTATTTGTCTGTGAACTATTTAGGCTACCAGTCTGGCTCTGCACAAGGACGAGAGCTCAGAGATCCTTTCTCCTACAACATCCATGGGTTCAATGACAAAAATATAAAGTATCTCAAATGAGATTGTTACCGTGCACAAGACCATGACTCAGGTACTGGGAAAACATAATATTACATGGTTGGGAGGATCATGACTTCACAATAAGACATGAAAAATGATTTTTCATTATAAAAATCCATCTTTCTTGCTTATATGTATCTTCATCTTCACAATCATTGCTTCTTAGCTTTCTTTTTCCACTGTGTTCATCTGCTGAACAATATTACTGCTATTTCTGCATTAGCAGCATGAAACTCTCCCACCACACAGTTACACAAGCAATTCCTGCACCCCAGGTTGTCACTGAAGCACCCAACAGAGCCAGGGGCACTGTCAGACAGGGACAGTCAGACAATCCCAGCCTGGCAGAGGGCCAGCCCCTCTGGAGAGCTGCTGAACAGGTTTTTTATTGCTGCCTGCAATTTAATAGACATCTGTAGGATGCAACTGAATCCCCTTTCCTCCAGCTTGATAAGAGCTGGCAGGTGAACAGCATAAAGCAGGAGACAAGGCAGAGATGTGCAGCCAGTGGGACCTGATTCTACTTGCTTGATAACCTGTTAAACCCAACATGCCTTTCTGCTTTGTGAGTAGAAAAAGGAGAACTAGAATGCAAAACTACCACAGGAAAATGAAAAAAAGAGGAAGAAGAATATGAGGTTTGTAGATTGAACTGGAGCAAAATGTGCTCTTGTGGCCCAGAAGGCCAACCGCGTCCTGGGCTGCATCAAGAGGAGCGTGGCCAGCAGGTCGAGGGAGGTGATTCTCCCCCTCTACTCTGCCCTCGTGAGACCTCACTTGGAGTATTGCGTCCAGTTCTGGAGTCCCCAACATAAGAAGGACATGGACCAGTTGGAGAGGGTCCAGAGGAGGGCCACGAAGATGATAAGAGGGCTGAAGCACCTTTCCTATGAGGACAGGCTGAAAGAGTTGGGGCTGTTCAGCCTGGAGAAGAGGAGGCTCCGGGGTGACCTTATAGCGGTCTTCCAGTACCTCAAGGGGGCCTACAAGAAAGATGGGGAGAGGCTGTTCAGGAGGGCCTGTTGTGATAGGACAAGGGGTAATGGTTTTAAAATAGAGGGAGGTAGATTCAGGTTGGATATTAGGAAAAAATTTTTTACCATGAGAGTTGTAGAACACTGGAACAGGTTGCCCAGAGAGGTGGTGGATGCTCCATCCCTGGAGATGTTCAAGGCCAGGTTGGATGAGGCCCTGAGCAACCTGATCTAGTTGGAGATATCCCTGTTTGTTGCAGGGGGGTTGGACTAGATGACCTTTGAAGGTCCCTTCCAGCCCTAACCATTCTATGATTCTATGATTCTATGAAAACACATCCAGAGGTTTTTCATTCTAGCTCTCCACTCAGGTGTTTACGGGTACAGTTTGAAGCAAGATTATGGCTCCGGCAGGACAAGGAATCTACGGAATAAATTGTTGCTGACTGTGCTGGAGAGAGGAGAAGATATGCTGGCTGCAGAGAGTGAGAGTGGGTGTGTGGTAGAGTGTGCTGACAAAGGGGCTGTGGCGGGGTGCCACAATCTTGCCTGCAATAACTGGAAGGCAATGACGTCTCGCACCGGAATAGGAAGAGACGTGCAAAGCTTTCATTGCCATAAACAGCAAACCTGTGGTTTGTGAAAAGGCTGGGAGGCTCAGACTCATTTACTGGTACCGTCACTGTGAGGATTCTAGTGTGGCTTACTCGTATCTCTGTTGGCTTAGAAGACAAGGACATTACTGGAAATATCTCTGGAGAAAACAATTTGCCAGTTTTTCATTATGTCCTTACAGGAATTAAAAGAATTCAGGACTTCTGAATCATACAGCACAAGATGGGAAGGGCTACCTAGGTCAAACAGATTGCAGTTCTGAATGCTGTTCCTCCCAATGTTTTGCCATACTCACTAATCAAATTAGTTTCTGCTATGCATCTTAGAGAACATTTTAAAAGCACATGGTCTCTTGCAACTAGGGAAGCTGTGGGGAAGGGAAGGAAAATGAGTAAAAGGAAACAGAGAATCTTAATTTTCTATTTTTTTTTCTAAATGTTCCTGTAAACACATGACAAGCTTACCTGAGTTAAGACCTTTTAATAGTGCGTAAAAGTTTGGAAAATATTGGAGGTCTTCGAAATTATCTTCAGAAGGCAGCTCATTTCTTCTTTCCAAGATATTAGATGATGACCATGTGTTATCCAGTGTATCGTCAATCTCCCCATTAATGAAACTATCCTTATCAGCTTTGCTTGGTGTCTCCACAAAAGACAAAAAGAAAATAATCTATAAGCACATCGCTTCTGGTTATGGAGTTAATCGAGCAATAAATAGCATTATAAACTTACGCCAGCATTTTCTTAACTACGAGGTGAAGACTATACTATTTTTTCAAAGTTATTTCAGTTTGGGATCTGGTTTAAACCTCCAAGTAACTCATGGATTTGTTTTTCTATGTGATGGAATTTCTCTAAGAACATCTTTGGTTTCCAGATTGAATTAATTATTCCCAGTGTATTGGTCTACTCATATCGTTTGGCAAGTGAGTCAAAATGATTAGCTAGGAAATTACCATTCGGTCCTGTTGCGTTTCTTTCGTATCACTGTCTGCTCTGCTTGGAGGGTAGTCAAAATCTTCAGACTCCTTCTCACGATCCTTTGCTTCATTTGCAATTAGCTGTTGTAAAACCTCTGCCACTTCATCTTCCAGGGTATAGGCCTGACTCTCTGTGATCTGTTAAAATATTTGTGCAGAGTACTTATAGAATGTTGTCTTTTTCCTAGATTAAACGTTAATACGAAATCTGAGCTTTATAAATAGGTTGCTTCAAATGTATTTGCCTCAAAGCTGAGCACAGCCAAATTAGGTGCAATACCTTTACTGACGTCTGTGTGTGTGCGTACGCACGTATACATATAGACATATATACATATCTATATTTATATAAATGCATATATAAACACATAAAACCACACATCAAATATGCGTGCATACATAAAACACACCCAGCCGCACATACAGCCTCCAAGAGGAAGACAAACCCATATGGGGCTTAACACAATGGAGTCCAGCTTGAAAGATGGAGCTGCAAGTGTGGTATACTTTTAAGCATATATATGTATGTTCTGCAACATGCCTATGTGCGGTTGAATACTACAACAGAACACAATAATACAGAAAGGGAAAAGGCAAATAGCTTTCTATGGCATCATCAAAATGTTTTCTCTTTGCCTCGTAGCAGCTGTCACTTGAATGAGAACTCTACCATGCAGCTTTCCCACAGCTCCCTTTGTCATCAGTGGGATTCAGCACGTAATGGCTAACTGCTAAATCTAGTGCAGAAAAGATAAGGTTAGTATTTTAACATCCCATATTGCAACGGCTAAAACCATTGAAACATCCAGAGGTCAGAGACAAACTCAGCCTTGCTAAAAATCAGTACCAATTTAATGTATCCTCAGCTAACTAGCATCATTGTATGTCTGCTGATGACAGTAATTAGTAGGTGCGTAGGACCTTTCCCCATAAACATCCAAAAGAAACTGATAATACAAAAGAACTCAATGAGAATCAGAAGAGAAATAAAAGGGAAAAGGAGGGCAGACATGGGAGGAGTATAATTAGTGAATGTTTTCTCAGCACCAGAAACGTTGTGCAGTTTGGCCTATTTTGTTGCAAAGCCATCACAGGAACAGAATGTTGCTGCAGAACTAAACCAGGGTGCCCAAACGAGTCAAGAAGCTTGCCTGGAGCCTGAATCTGACTCATTTTCACTCAAGTCAGCGTTATTAGCTGGACACAGTGTTAATCCAAATTGATTTTGAAGAGTATTAAACCAACCCACAAAACAGCTAAATGAAGTATTAACAAGATACTTACTAGCCCCAGATTTAGAAGTTTTGAAACGATCTTGTCAAACACTCCTCTGTCATTTTCCTCATAAATTCTCGCAGCAATCTTTTGAACAATGTCTTCAGCAGTCAAAGGAGTGCCATCTAATTGATGGAGGCCATCTGGATCATCTGGAAGGATTATAGTTTAACTATGTGCTGATTGTCCTAACTCATTTGGATTAGACATCTTGTAAAAAAATATCTGCCCACAGCTTTTTCTCTTTAGAACAAGGCTGCACTTTTTAAACACATTAGGAATATACTTTGACACACACTTTGGAATCCATTACATAAGTTCCAATGAAAAGTACTTTGTGTCCATTTTCCACATCTGCAAACGTCTTTGGCTCTTTCGAAGGAGCAGAGATGAATGTCAGGAGCATACTCTCCTGTTCATAGAAAAAACTGTAAGACTTAAAGAGTAGGCTGCTTACGTATCTGCTTACATGCATCTTCTTGGTATCTACTTTAATTATATGGCCACTTACATCAAAACAGATCATGACAAACAGCATACTATCTTCTTGTTTGGATTTCAGCAAATGAAGTTTTAATTATGTAATCATTACTTATGGCAAATAATATCATCATGACCAAAGGGAAAGTGAATGTGATGAGTAGCTTTGGTCTGTGATCAGCATATTTTAATATAATTAAAAATATCCTGAGCTAAATGCTGCTCACAACTCTGAGAGGACTCACTTAAACTACAAGTCAATTAACCACTCCTGTAGTAAAGGCAAGTATTCCTTGGCCTTCGGTAACTTCTTTTAGCTCAGTAATATGGAGAATTACCTAACATGGCACATAATATTTCGAACAAATATATGTGATTTAGCTCTATACAAAAGTGCTTCTTCCTTTCAAACCAGAATAAATATATTGAATTTTGGATTTTCCCCCATGGAAGAGGACTGTAAAAATCAACAGCAATTCTTTTGTATTGTGTTTCAAAACCTAATTGTAATATGACAGTCTCCCACAACTCGAAATAATTGAAATTGCACTCCAGTAACAGAGATCATGTTTAGTGGTGAGTACAACATTCATAACTGCAATCAGTTTGCAAGAGAAGTCTAACCTAAAAGTCACTGAAAGGTGATTATAGAATACCTTGGAATTTATAATCCAGCCCACTTTTCGTGGAGTCATAGTCATCCACAAGCCTGCGGTTCTTGGTGGAGTCTGCATCATCAATGGCCAGTTGCTGTTCATACAAAGAGCTTCTAATTGACTCCCTCTCCTTTTCATTCCTCTCTCTTTCTGCTACTGATTTTAGCAGGTTCAGGTCATCAACAAAGGAGTAATTCCTGAACTCTGGCTTATTTTCTGGAAAATATATCAATGCACACACGACATAAAATCTTATACCTCTTTGAAAACCATTATAAATATTGCTATATAACCAGGAAAAATGTTTTACCTGTGGGAGCTATTTTCCTATTCTTGTCTGCCTCAGCTTCAGCAATCTGATACACAAAAATAAAATAAATAAACAAACCAATCAACAGGCAGAAGGGATAAATACACTAAAATGTGCGATCTCTTAATTTATGAATATCAGCAGAAGCCTTAATGCCTGATCTTCACTCTCAGTGAGAAGTCTGCCTTAATAAGTAGAACATGATTAAGTGCTTGGCACTTTTTGTCAGCACCACCGCATCCTCTGATCAGAACCGGACATTACAAGAAGCTGCAACAGACTTGTCATTTTAAGATAAATGCCAATTACACTTTCCTTCTTCAATCCAAGCTCCCACTATATTCCCGCAGGATGTCAACACAAAGGGGTGGCACACCTATGAGCTGCTGGAGCTAACAACCTGCCTTTGGAATGCTGGACAGTAAAACTCTCTACGCCGGTTCTTAAAAATGATTGAAACTCTATACCCAACCTCATCAGTATTTACTGACAAATCTATTTTTAACTCATTTGTTAAGCCATTAGGATTTTCATGGATCAAGTACCTGAAGGCTCAAATTATTATGGGAATATTAAAACCAAAAAACATTGTAAATATTTTTTACTCCACTTACCTGTTCCTCCAAAGGTCTTTCTACACTTAACTGTCTGTTGTGTATAGCTTTATCTAGAATAAACAAGCACACACATATACACTCCATTATACGATGCATGCAACTACAAAGAGCGCATATTTCTTAATTTATAGTTTAAAACATGGTGTCTTAAATATGACACCAACTGCTAGTTCTCGTAAAAAAATTCAGAGTTCCTAGAAGAATGAGAATACAGTTAAAAAGTCAAACATTTAAACAAAGCATGATTGTTTTGGGGCAGAAGGAGAGGTTCTGCAAAAGATGCAATAGGAATACAGATACAGACTCAGTAACCCCTTTCTGATGAGAAAACTCGTGAACAAATTGGGGAAAAAATGCTTGTAAGAGATTGACTAAAATAGCAATAATCGGATTGGCACAACCAAGAGATTAAAAATCTCTTACATCCAGAATACCAGGGGAGCCAGGGAGTGGGGGAGAGAGAAAGACTTGTGCAGAAACTGCTGCAGAATGGATGAAAGCATTGCTTGGAGAAGACTGAAAGAATTTAGAGCTTTTCCCTCTACCAGCACCTATCTCTTCACTTTAACATTAAATTGCAACTTCAGTGATCCACCGTCTTGCACCAGGAACATTGCTTTTTCAGAATCTAAATGCTTTTAGCCAAGCGGAAGGAAACTTTTTACTTTCCTCTCTCTGTATCCTGCAAAACTTTCCCCATCTCGCCGAAAACGGAGAAAACGCGTTAACGAAGGCGCTCACCTTTGCCCGCGGGCTTCGGGAAGCCATGCGCCCG